AAGAAGAAGAAGAAGAAGAAGAAGAAGGAGGAGGAGGAGGAGGAGGAAGGGAGGAGGAGGAGGAGGAGAGAAAAATATTTAGAAGGCTGGTTGAGTTTCTGACCTTGGATTCCTGTGTGATGACTGGGAGAGCAGAACAGAGGAGGCATGGAGGCAAAGGCGGCTCCTGAGAAATTCAGTTTCCTGGTTGATGGGGGTAGGTGGCTCTTAGGCCAATTCCAGCTTTTGTTGAAACAGAAAGAAAGAAAACCTATGTGCTGCCTGTACTCCAATCACGGTGCCTGACCCCTAATAATTATCATTAATATTAACACGACTTTTAAAATATGCACAGAAAAATCTTAATTGGGAATTCTTGCCTAACTAAGGAGTGCAATAGGGACAGGGAGCAGGGGAGGACTGGAAGGAAATTTTAAGCTCACCAGGTCCTGCACTGAGGTTGAGACACCTCAGGAGGATCCTCTACCTGCTGGGCAAAGGAGGAGGCAAGAATGGGGTCATTGGGGTTCTCCAACCCTGCTTTGTTTGCAATGATTGGGCTCTTCTTGCTCTTCGCTGCCACTTGGCTTTTTCACAAGGAGATGGGAGAGCGGGGGATGGGGACTGGCAGCTTTGCTCCCACCGCCCGCCAAGGACCCACCTCCAAAGCTGTTGAGGCCCAGTAGATCCCATCTAGATGGGGGTGGGGGTTGAGGATGGGGTGGGGAATAGGGGGACGGCAGGGCGCCCAGCCCTTGGATACTCTCTGCCTCCCAGCCACGGTTCCTCTTCCTTGTTAACATTAAATATTCGTCTGCACCGGCGAAGGGTCCTTCGGTGAGTTTGGTTATGGTACAAAGCTGCGACATAAATAGAGGGGGAAGGTGGCCGGGTGGGCGGTCAGGTGGAGTGGAGATGAGGCGCTTTCGATTTGCTGACCACCTTCTTCTCTTTGACTCGACGGTTCTGGAACCAGATGGTGACCTGGCGCTCGGAGAGGTTCGTGGTGGCAGAGATGCGCCGGCGCTTCTCTTTGGTGATGAACTTGCTGGCCGCGTATTCCTTCTCCAACTCCTTCAGCTGCACCTTGGTGTAGGGCACTCGTTTCTTGCGCCCGCGCCGGTAGCTGCTCACCTCAGGCTGTAGGGGAACCACGTCTAAGGGGGGAGAGAAGGCAGGCGGGCAGGGAGTGAGTTGCGTGGCTGGACCCTGGACTGGGCTACGGGCATCGACACCGCACCGCAGACTGGGCGCAAAGCTCTGGCAGGGACTCAAAGCGGGCCAGCGGATTGCCCCCAAATCTTTTGCTCTCTAGTAGCAAGGCCACGACTGAGGTGAGGCCACTGTGGTATTTTTCTCTGGTTCAAACTTTAAAGGAGGGGGCACAAAATACTCAGTCATCAAGATAAACAATACTTGAATACAATGCTTTAAAAAATCAAAATGAATGCAAAATATCCATGATGAACAAAGTATCAATTTTTTAAAATAAACACTGGAGCCCTAACCGGTTTGGCTCAGTGGATAGAGCGTCGGTCTGCGGACTCAAGGGTCCCAGGTTCGGTTCCGGTCAAGGGCACGTACCCGGTAGGGAGTGTGCAGGAGGCAGCTGATCGATGTTTCTCTCTCATGGATGTTTCTAACTCTCTATCCCTCTCCCTTCCTCTCTGTAAAAAATCAATAAAATATATATTTAAAAAAAATAAACACTGGGACAGTATTACTGATTTTCTTTTTGTCTCAGGCTTCATTATGGCTTGGCACAGCAATCTCTGTATCACTAAAATCTCTGTGTCACTAGAATCTCTGTGCCCTTAGAGGGGTCCCTTCAAATTTCACTCTGGTCTGCAGGCCTTCCTGCAGTTAAATCATTTGGGCAGCCATCAGCTCATCCTCTGCTCCAGTATGAGAGAAAGATGTTCTGTTGTAGGTTTGAGGAAGGACATGTCTGGCAGGGAGATGGCTGCAGTTGGCACAGCCCACCAAGTGGCTGCTCACGGCTTTGCTCACTGGCTCTGCACTAGGAATCTGATGCCCGCACCACTAGACAGAGAGAACAGTCCAGGTGACGCCAGCCTGCGTGGGAGCCCATCAGTCTAGGAGTCCAATTTTGTGAGCCACTTAACAACATCCAAGGTAGGATAGGAGGCCCCCGTCCTGAGATATAGAGAATCAGTCCTTGGAAGTAAAGGGTCCACGCCCCAGGGTCTGTCCACCAGAGAAGGCACCAGGAGAGCCCTTCTTGGGGGGTAAAATCAGCTATTCACCTAAGTCTATAGAAATAACTCAATGTCCCCCTGCCCCCACAAATGTCCACCCACCCAAACAGAGCAAATTCTGCTCTGCTCCAACCCCCTCTCCTCTCCATTCTTCCAAAGCCGAAGAAAACTCTCTTCATCCCATGCAGAAATCCTAACCCTAAATCCTAAATACCTTGTCACCCTAACCACTAGTAGTTCAGTTTCTTTATACTCTGAAAATTTCACAGAAACCAAAAACAAAAAAATGTCCCTTATACCCCCCTTCCACTCCACCCTCACCTCTGTCAATAAAAAGGTCATAGCCACACTTTCAAGGGGAAGTGGGAAACTAGGGAGATTGTCTAAATAAATGGCCCCTTAATTTTTAAAATATAGTTATTAGACTTCTTCAGACAAAAGCTAGTGAAGAAGACAGAATATTGGGGGTTTCTCCTTCATTCTCTACCCTTTGAGAGTGTAGAAACAGTCCGGAGTGAAAACACAAAGCTCTTCCTGAAATGCTGTTCTCACCCCACCCTCATACAACACCTTCCCTATACCCATTCCCACTGGGACCCTTATCTCTATAGGATGGAGAGAGATGTCTCCTGAGAAAAGTGCTCAGGAAGAATATGGGAGAGGGGGGTTCCAATGGCCTGGTTTGGCTGTCTTCGTGATGACAATTTCTCAGGAAAATTGTTGGATTTGTCCCTTGTCTCTGCCTATGTATGAATAGGCCAAGGTTTTATAAAAATCTGAAAAACAAAACAACTTCACTTTAACAGAGAAGATCCTTTAGATTAAAAATGATTTTTTGTACAAGATAATTTTTTTAAAAACCTCTCAGTTCTCAAGTTGTTTTTTACTCTTACAGATGTAACTATGATTCAGGAAATTGATGATTCTGGGACAAGAATAATACAGAGAAGGTAAGTACTGATATCATGAGGTCATTGTGAGGTTTTCTGTGTTAATCCCCAGAACTTTTTTTTCAGGATTATTTTAGTAAACTCATTTACAAGATGAGAATTTGAGGCTCTAGACTGGGTAAAATAACTTAAGTTTAAGATTTTAAACCCAGATTTTTGGATTCAACATAATGACACGGTGAGTTCTCAAATGGAAATAAACCACCTGATACAATCCAGCTTTAAAATATCTCCTTTTCAAAAATAAAATAAAATAAAATACCTTCTTTTCCCTGGAGAGCAAAATGGAATAAAAGTGGCATTTAATTCCTGAAGTAACCAGATAATTGTCCTTGTTGTTGTTGTTTTTCCCCTCACTTTTTGTAAATGCTCACAATTACCTACCCAATTTTGGATTCCCAAAACCCTCACTCTAATTTTCCAATGAGGTTTAATCAATGCAACCCTAAAAATCAGTTTTAAAAAACAAGTAATTGATTTAAGCTGGCTCTTTTTCTCTGTAGAATACCAGGATTGATTTGGCCAAGTTTTTCATGGACCAGACCAAACTGCTGGGGATTTTTAAAGGCCTCCTGGGGAAATACCTTCTCTCTTGCCTTCTCACAGAAGCCCCCTTCATTGTCTGTTGTCTTGTCTGAAAAGGAAGTGGGATCCACAGATGTGGGAACATCTAAAGCTTAGACCTGGAATAGTGTCTATACTGCCTAAAGTAAACAGGGGAGTTGGCTAATTAATATTACACTCAACCCTTCCCTAATCTCCCTCCAGAGCATACACGCACCCAAACCACTTCATACCTGGGAATCTAATAGACACTTTTGAAGAGCAAATAAAAATCAGATCAATGCTCAGCCATAGCTTTCTCTTGGAGCTCTGTGTACAGGTTCCTACTGCTCCCTTGCTCTTGCCCACTTACTGCCACAACAGGGCTCTGCAGAGGACGCCTTCCTCAGCTAGAAATCCTAGCTGCTCTTCTCAACCAAAATCCAAAGGCTTGTCAGTAGGTACTCCAGCATGGCCCAAAGAACCCACTAAATGTTTTTCTCATTCTCTCTCTCTCCTAATCCTCTCTGTCTCTCCCCATCCTTTCTTTGCTGATTCTCTCTCAAAATTTCTGCCTCTCTCTGAAAAAAAAAAAAAGTCTACACTCACCATTGGAAGGAAGAGAGAGAGAGAGAGAGAGAGAGAGAGCGCAATGAAGCAAGGGTCTGTATAATTGGGGGAAGGAAAAAGCCACAACACATCTTGGCCCTAATTATTTGGATCTTTCTGAACAATTGCTCCATCTCCCACACCAGCCCAGACTGCCATAGATGAGGTTTCTCAGAGCCAGAGGCGCTGAAGAGAGACAGTAGTGTTTATGCCTAGATGCTGCGGAACAAACCACAATTGCATAGACAGAGTTATCTGGAAATCTCACTGCTTCTAAAAGATCTCTGTGTGGGCAGAAAGATGGAGGGTGTCTGAAGATCATTTCTTTTTCATCTGCCTATTGCCTGGACCTCTGCACTCACTGGGATACACCAGCCTGATTCTATTTCCACACAGGGAGTGTTTGAGCACATAGCTGCTGAGACACACTGGGTTTTATATCCATTTCCATGCTGTAATTTGCATGCCATAATTTGCAAATGTATTACATCTCAGTTGGGCTATATATTTTTTATTTCAAAGCTATTTTTCTCTAGGAGGCTGTGATCACAAAGTGTTTATTTCTAGCGTGTTTTTCCCCCCAGGGAATCTTTAAAATGTATATTTTATTCCAAGATATTTCTGAGCTTCTCTTCAATCCTTCACCCCTACTCCACTCCACAGGAATACATAAGGATGCCAGAGAAGCTCCTCTTCACTTCTTCACATTAAACCCATCGCCCATTGCTCCAGACCTGCACTTCTGCCCAGAGTGGGCCTGGTGGGTATATGCTCCCCTGTCTTTTGGCCCTTTAGAATGGCCCATTGGCTCCACCTGCTCCAAGAATTCCTGCTAGATACCCAATTCCTAAGGACCTTTCCATTTGGGAGAATTGGGGGATTAAAGGGCCATCTCTCTACATGTGAATTGCCTGTATTCTAGAAATATATTAGTGTATGTTTCATATTAGGTGGTTAATAATAGAAATCTTATTATATAAAAATATTATCGCCAATGCCAAATATGCAATGCATGATACCATGTACTAAAATTCTATCATCCTTAAATCTTCTTGCAACCAAAATGGGGTGCCTAGGGTGGGTTCCACCCGGGTATTCAGTTGTATGTTATATTGAGTATTCTCAGAATATTTACAAGAATGTTATTTGCTACACTTTCTAACATAATTCAGTGATATTCTCACCATCTGCCCCTTCCCCAGTCCCGGATGCAGAGGAATTTCGGGCCCACTCTTAAGAGGTCTTCAGTCTATATTGTCCAATGAAAATGTCCCTAGGCCCATATGCAGAGCTGGGGGACCTCTGGGCAGTATGGGGAGACATGTGTGGCTGCTCTGGGCCCCACTGGGCCCCTGTGGACGTCGGAAGGGAGCCAGTCGGCCCTCTCTCCCTGAGCTCTACTTACAGCCAGAGCAGACTGAAGCTCTGGATTTGTTAGATCCCAAATCCTGATTTCTCAGTGCAGTGCTGAATTCAAAGCTCCCATATGGTTTTTAGAAACCCTTGGGTGGGTTGCAAGATCCCCTCCTGTTTAGGGAAAGCCTCATTTAAAGAGGAATAGGGCAATGGTGAATTCCACACCCCCCCCAATACCCCACACATAGCCAAACAAAACTGAGGGGCTCTCAGCCTGGGCCTGGACCCCAGGTCCCTTCAGAACAGGTCTTCCTCCCCTACCCCTCTCATCCTTACCACCTTCTTTCTGTGTTTGAGGCATGGATAACTCTCTCTCCCCACACTTGGGGGAGTTAGCAGTGGAAACACCCACATTATTTGAACTCAGTATACCAGAGAGAAAAATAAAATTTATATCTCAGGAGAGGGATTCAAACTTCTTTCTCTACACAACCTCTCAAGAGAGATTTTAGCTCTGCTCCTTTAACAATTGGGAAATTCATGGCCAAATTTTTTTAATACATAAAAAAGAAAAGAAAAAGGTAGTATCCTACATTTCTGTAGACTGTGGCAAATCGGACTCCTATTTAAAACACACACACACACACACACACACACACACACACTCAACTGTCTAGTGCCTGAACGATCTTGGAAATTCTGGCAAAGAAAATGGGGGGTCTTATTTTCCCCCCTAGTTATTTGGTGGGTTGAGGGTTTGGGGCTGGTGATTGTGGATTCCAAGGTACTCTAGGCCCTCCCCACCCCCATTCTTAGCCGGAAGCGGGCTTCGCCGGCACTGAGCCACGCGCGAGACTGGAGCCGGCTGGGGGAGGAGGAGGCGAGCTACCGAC